CATATTGGCCCTTTGCATTGAAAGAATGTGTTTATTATAAGCATTAATGTTAATCTCAGCAAATGACCTTTTTAGAAAAATTGTTGGTTTCTTCAAACCAGAACATATTGCATATTTGTAGTCCTCGTAATTGAGGCTCACTTGTTCGTGCGAAAGAATGTTTTCAAATATGCTCAAGTGATCAATCATATCAGGGGATTGATCACAATTTAATAGGTCTTTAATTTTCTTAAAATTTCATTGGTGAAAATCAAGGTTTGGAGTTTCCTCCGGCAATGGACTCAATATCTCCGTTTGGGGCATTGGAGGGTATGGAATACCGAATCTGCAAACTTTGTTTCCACTTTTACCAACTGTCTTAAGACATGACCTGTTTGTGTGCTTATGCTTTTGGTATTCAACATACGGAGCTAATTCTGAGTCTGTTATATCTACTGTAATATGTTTATTAATGAAGGCTACAACTGTTGAAATTGACTCAGTTCTGGTTAAGTCCACTGCTGGGGCATCTTTCAGCCAAAACATGCCGTGAATATGGGGAGAACCTCTCTGTTGAAATTCAACACGCCAATAGAATTTGATGACGAAGTTTTCTCCGAAAATGCCCTCTGGACTCCTCATAACTTTTAAAATCTCGCGATACCTATAATCGAAATACCTAGCACAAGTAACTGGATCTGCCCTAATAAGACGCGCCTTTTCGTCCCAAACTAAATCAATGGCCTCTTCTTCGCTAATTATGATTCTATCTACGTTTTTTTGAGCAAAACAAGCAACTCTGGCCACCGCGTTTCAGCAGCAGACAGAGTGATAAAAAAAGTCGGCAGGCCGAACTGACGAATCATGGCCATAACCTTCTTCTTTTCATCCTCCCAGTGAGCTGGAGACGAGCGAATATCTCGAAGAACTCTATATCCCTCATCGTGGTTAATAAGTCCCCCTATGAAATTCTCATTAAGAGCGTTGGCTGCCGTTACTGCACTGGAAATGCTCCGCTTACGTAAGCAGATTGAAATATTATTGCGAATCTTAATGAGTTCTAATTTCTTGTAATTGAAAAACAGTTTATCAGTTCTACAACCTCTCCTATCTACATTTCGAAGCTCTGATCTAACTATGGTTGTATAACTTTCTGAGCATGGTCTCTTGACGCCTGCGTATATTGTGGGAAAGGATAACTCTTCCGAGTCAATATCTAGGATCATGTCGAGAGGTCTTTGGCCTTCGCCTGGTGCTATTCTTACAGGTGTATCATTAAATGCAATGTTATTTTCAAGCAGAGTTTCCTGACCTCCAGGATTGAGTTCATCAGCTTCCAAATCCTCGTCAGGATGGGCTGGCTCTGCGTCTACAATCCTATCTCTATTCTGCATCGCTTCTAATACGGCAGCGTCTGCCTGAGATGCTACAAATGGAACTATATCGGATCTAAATTTAGACATCCATTCCTCGTTAACTTTAACACCATGCTTTTTATATAGATCTGTGGTAACTAAATAGCTGAGAGCCTCAAGAACTTTTAAAGGTCTAATGGTTTCAGCCATGAAATCAGCACCAATTGCCAGTCTACGTTTCAGGTGGAGCTGAACAACCTGGGCTTCATGGAAAGCACGTGGAAGCTTTTTTACGGCTTCGTCTATTGAAATAGGGACGTTTACTACTGCTCCTTTAATGGCATTTTGGCCTCGCGATCCGTCTAATAGACTCATAATTATCATAAATGGAAGTCGAGGAGAAATCAGTCGTTCCTCTAATTTAGTAAGCCCCTTTAAACAGTCGGGCAGCATAGGGAAATCTAATCCATTTTGGAAGAAAAGCTTAGGCCTGTTGCCTTTCTTTATTTTGCTGTTACATGTTCGGCAGAACTTTAATTTTTGGCAGTCAGAAGGGAATTCTAGAAGGCTTTGAAGAGCGAAAATTTCTGCACTAAACTCGCAACAATTTTGTAAAACCTCGCGAGAAATTTTACAAATTTTTTTTGGGGAACCAGAGGCCTTTACAAGAAAGGCAAACCTGATCAGGACCCATCTTTACATTCCTATTGTAAACTACTTTTAGAGCTTCTAGGCCACTAAGCCTTATTCTGGGTCCTATCTGAGCCCTATCCTGGGAGATATTTGCTCTTTCTCCCTGCATTCGGGAGGCGTTTCTCAAGTTTTGCTCAAGCCTATTGCTGCTATCGCTCCTATATTGGCTAAGTCTCTGACTAGCACTTCTGGCAGCGTCAATTGCGGACCGTCGAGCTGCGGCACGAGCAGTTTGACGTGCCAGAGTTTCTCGCTCTCGTAAGATATGCCTACGGTCTATTAAACTTCTTTCTTGGGCCAAAGACAATATAAGTATAAGATGCGTAACGCCATACGAAATTTCTGCACAGGAATTTTCGGGGCTGGCTCTAGAGCTGGCTCCAGGCTCTCTTGAAATTTTTTAGAGAGAGAGAGCGCTCTAGAGCCAGCCGCTCTCATGTATGCATTCAGCATACGAAGGCACACGAAGTTGGTTCTTTGCCGATGCGACAGCCGAGCCGAGTCGTTGCGACGACTGTATGTGTGCACATGCATACGTTTTTTACAGCGCTGTCGAAATATACCCTTCACTTTATAAGTGTAAGTTAATTTTGCAAGACGCTTACCACCCCAATATTAACGAGAAGGAACGTGTGAGTCGCTTCTGGGGACGCGACTCTACTTATACCCGTACTCAGTCAGTATATACATTTTTGAGCTTATGATTTTTAAGAATTTTAGAAAAAAAAAATTTTACATTTTACATTTTTTTGCTACATATGATATCTACATCTACATATACAATGTATATTCTACATCTAACATGTAGATTTTACATGTGCCAATTAGATTCTACATCTGCTCCGCTAGGGGTTGCTCGCGCACTGAACGCGGCAGAATGTGCGAGCGAGAAGGAAAATGAGATGCGTTGTCTGGGCGGGAGGGGGAGGGGAAGCAACTGAAAATTAATTTCGTCATTCTGGCTATAATTATGATCCGATCTGATTCAGATTCAGCAATCTGGTAGATATGGGCATTCTCTACTATACTGCGTTTTTTGTTTTATCGTATCTTTAAAACTGTGCCTGCCACAGATTTTCGTCCTTTGTGTGGGCGGAAGGGGGCGGGGCGAAATTTTGAAATACACTTGTAGCAGTGTGATATCACATGAGTCTGGAAACCAAATTTGGTTTCTCTAGCTCTTATAGTCTCTGAGATCCAGGCGCTCATCGAGACGGACAGACGGACGGACGGACGGACAGACAGACATGGCTATAACGACTCGGCTATTGATGCTGATCAAGAATATATATACTTTATGGGGTCGGAAAATTTTCCTTCTCTGCGTTACACACATCCACTTTTACCACAAATCTAATATACCCCTTAACTCTTTTTTGAGTACGGGTATAAAAAACTGTTATATTGTATATGTTTAAGCCGCAAAGTAGGCACCGATGCAGCCCATAGGCTGCAAGCTCATGCTCCCGAAGCATGAAAGCTTTTGGAGCGGCCTCTTCAGTGCTCATTAGATTTAAGCTTAATCATACCAGAGTTAGTTGAAATCAGACCTTGGAATAAAGCACAACGCGCACGCGCATCATTTTCGCAAATTACATACATCTTCTTCTTATTGTTTGGGCACCTAAATCCCACGAGCCACCAGAAGTGAAGGACGAGAAAAGCAGGCAAGGATCTCCCACTACAATCAGTGGTCCTTCGAGCCGGATTTCATCATTGGATTTTTTTTTATTTTTCACCGAAAAAAAAATCACGGAGATCATCCCCCCAATCCGCTCGCCACAGCTTGCTCAAGAGGAATTGCCAGCTAAGTATATAAAAACCGTCCAATTTGCAACCAAAAAGGTTCTGTGCAGTGTATAGTGTGTGGAGAAACTCCATAGTGAGGAAGTGCAAGTGAAGACGAAAAAAACCGCTATTTGTTTACCTTTTTATACCCGTACTCAAAAAAGAGTTAAGGGGTATATTAGATTTGTGGTAAAAGTGGATGTGTGCAACGCAGAGAAGGAAACGTTTCCGACCCCATAAAGTATATATATTCTTGATCAGCATCAATAGCCGAGTCTATATAGCCATGTCCGTCTGTCCGTCTTGATGAGCGCCTGGATCTCAGAGACTATAAGAGCTAGAGAAACCAAATTTGGTTTCCAGACTCATGTGATATCACACTGCTACAAGTGTATTTCAAAATTTCGCCCCGCCCCCTTCCGCCCACACAAAGGACGAAAATCTGTGGCAGGCACAGTTTTAAAGATACGATAAAACTAAAAACGCAGTATCGTAGAAAATGCCAATATCTACCAGACTGCCGAATCTGAATCAGATCGGATCATAATTATAGCCAGAATGAAGAAATTAATTTTCAGTTGCTTCCCCTCCCCCTCCCGCCCAGACAACGCATCTCATTTTCCTTCTCGCTCGCACATTCTGCCGCGTTCAGTGCGCGAGCAACCCCTAGCGGAGGATATGTAGAATCTAATTGGAACATGTAAAATCTACATGTTAGATGTATAATATACATTGTATATGTAGATGTAGATATCATATGTAGCAAAAAAATGTAAAATGTAAAATTTTTTTTTTTTCTAAAATTCTTAAAAATCATAAGCTCAAAAATGTATATACTGACTGAGTACGGGTATAAGTAGAGTCGCGTCCCCAGAAGCGACTCACACGTTCGCCATCTTTTTTTCCGCCAAAAATCGGACAAGTGCAACGACCCATCAGGCGCACATATGTACGTACTTATATACATAGGCACACGCTGATCTCCGCTAATTCCATTCCGCTTAGAGAAGCACTGCATCGAACCTAGTGCATCGAACATGTTGGATCGCGACTAGGGTGGCGAACATACATATGCACATATGTACATACGGTTTTTTCTCTTTGGCGCTCTCGTCTCTTGCACTGTACACACATATGCATAATCCGCACAAGTTATTTTAAATAAGAACCAAACAAAAAAAAATTATAAAATAAAATAACGTTTAAGTGCATGTACATAGTACCACCTTTTTTGTAGGTGTACTTTATGTTTTTGTTCCTTTTCCTCCGCCAAAACTAACTCCATTCACCCAATCACCTTATATTATTTAAGTGCATGCTACATCCATTTAATACTTCAGCAATTTTGAACCATCCGCAGCCTGCAATAAAATAAAATATACACAGCGCTTTTCCTCTATTAAAAACAAATCATATCACCTATATAAAACACCTTACATACATACACGCATATCCACACAGTACGGGATCCGCCTCAAGCATTTACATACGTACATACATACATACCGCGAGCTTAGCTTACAGCAGCTGCTCCATTCCTCTTTGTGCTTATGGTGATGCCCTGTACGACGCGGGTATATAGTTTTCATGAAAAGGTACGGCACTTGGGGGGGGGGGGAGCACTGATTGTAGTGGGAGATCCTTGCCTGCTTTTCTCGTCCTTCACTTCTGGTGGCTCGTGGGATTTAGGTGCCCAAACAATAAGAAGAAGATGTATGTAATTTGCGGAAATGATTTCCAAGGTCTGATTTCAACTAACTGTGGTATGATTAAGCTTAAATCTAATGAGCACTGAAGAGGCCGCTCCAAAAGCTTTCATGCTTCGGGAGCATGAGCTTGCAGCCTATGGGCTGCATCGGTGCCTACTTTGCGGCTTAAACATCCTCCCCCCCTTGCAATATAGTTGCAAAGAAAAAATAGGAACGGGGAAGGGCCGTCCGTGCTTGGGACCACTCCTGGCAGAATCACCTTTGGATATACGTCGGCTCCGAGTACCAAGGAAATGGTACATGGCCGATGGAATTGAGCATCCGCCAGGTCCATGTTGGCGAAGTGCTCCTTTACGTGGTCTCCCAGGGGTCTCGTCGGTGTTCGTATTTGGAGCTGAGGCTCCACCGTCAGGACCACCTCTAGCCTGACATCGCTCTTCAGTATATGTATATCCCTTCAACGATAATTTATTTTAAGATGGTATATTCGATAATGATGATCGGATATACATATATAAAAATACGTAATATATTTAATACATGAAATTCCATGAATCACATTGGAATAATTGCCATTAGGGTATTCCGGATGCGACGTATTCAACGCCGGTATATAATTTCGTTTCTCAACTCATAAAAAGGTTTCCGTCTCGAAAATCGTCCGCTTAGCACAAGTACGCACACATACGCACTTGCTGTTCTGTGTGTACTTACACATGCAAGCGGATTCTATTTTTAGATTCGTACGCTCTCAAATTTGTGCGAGCTGGCCGAAAAATTGTCTTGCATATGGCAATTGAAATGTATGAGCGTTCCGCATCTTATACTTATATTGTCTTTGCTTGGGCCCTGCGAACTCTATCCTGCTCTCTTTCTAACAGTCGTCTCCGTTCGTTATATCTACGCAGGCGCTGTCGCCTCTCTGTATTTGTTCTTTGCTACGTGTTCTACTGTGTTTTGTTCCTGCTCTCTATTCCTATAGTCTAAGTCCTGCCTTCGTCTGGACCGACGCGCAGTATCGGCCACTTGCTCCTCACGTCTAATCTGCGCGTCCGTTCGTCTCACTATATGCCCTACTGTGTTTTCTTCCTGCTCTCTATTCCTATAGTCTAAGTCCTGTCTTCGTCTGGACCGACGCGCAGTATCGGCCACTTGCTCCTCAAGTCTAATATATGCGTCTGTTCTTCTAACAGTATGTAAGGCTGTATTTTGTCCCTGCTCTATAGTCCTATATCTTTGGCTCCGTCTCCGTCTGGCACACGACGCAGAGTGTCGGTCACTTGGCCCTGTCGTGGAATCTGCTCGCCTACTCGTCCTTCTATATTTCCTAAAGATTGGTTCCGTATCCGTCCGGACCGACGCACAGAATCGGCCACTTGTCGTCTTGTCGTATGTCCTCGTGTATTTGGAATCTCTTCAACAGAGACGGCTGCGTGTTCTCCCAGCGCTACAGCTAGAACCTGCCCACCTGATACCTGCTCTTGGACCTCAATCTCCTGTTGCTGGTTCCTACCAGAATCTGAATGTTCTAAATTTTCCCTATTTTCTAACTGTTCCCTATTTGATCTGTTTCTCAACCTGCGTCTCTGAGACTGTTGAGAAGCAGATTGTCTCTTCTACGTGGCATTTTACAAAAATGTATAAATTTAAAAATATAAAATAATAATAATAAAATAATAAAAAATATTAATTAATAATATATAAATAATATATAAATTAAAACAATAATATAAAATATAGAAATATAAAATAATAATATAAATAATAAGATAATATATTAATAATTTAAGGAAATAATTAAGATAAAATAAAAATACATATAAAATCTAACACTGCAAATACTCCCCAAAGCGGAGCGAACAGCAGCGACGTCCGTTGGAAGGCAGCAGCGACGTCAGTTGGAAGGCAGCAGCGACGTCAGCAGCGGCACCAAAAAGCGCGCGCGATTGCACCGACGTAGTTAGCTACTACTAATAGCTTCTAACTCACGATCGGCGCAGAAAAACTAAGTCCCTATATCACTCCTAGCAAGCACTACTTTAAGCTATTAATCTAAGAGCTAAACTAGTTTAAATATGATTATTTAACGCACTTTATCGCAATCGGCAATCGGGAAGTCTCTATCGCTCACGGTGGCTCGATTTCGACTGGTCAAACCAATACAATTGCTTACTGAGATTCCGCGGTTTTTTTACTCAAGAGCAAGTAAAAAAGTAGAGCGCAAAAGGAAGAAAAAACCGAGTCAAGACATGCATGCGTAACGGACAATTCAATGCATATGTATGTATATATTTACATATGTACAGCAGAAAACCAATCTGTCTGAGCCATTTCTATGCAAATGTTTTAACTAGAATATGCTTATACTTCTAATTGCATTTCTATAGCGTGGGGTGGTGGGTGGTAAATGATTTCATTTACTATTTCTCTTTGCTATCGCTGTTCGCTGTATGTTTGTATGTATGTGCATGCATGTGTGTAAATAGACAACCGCGCATCTTCTCAATTGAGAGAGCACTTGTCTGAGTGGGCAGAGAACTCTCAAGTGGAAACAGAGAGATAGAGAGAAAGACTCAAAGACATTTCGGCGGTTTTTTTTTCTCATTCCTTTCACAGGAATTTTAAGAGTCAAAACATTTGCGTGTCACCCCTCCCCTACGTAAATAAACGGCTGATTTTAACAGCGCATGTAAAGGCTAAATGAAAGAGCGGCAATATCTTAAATATATATTTAATATTAATATATTTTATTACTAACATAAATATGTAAATATACATGTACGTGTAGTCATACGTGCATATGCATGTAAATTTATGAAATTGCCAACAAATTGTTTACCAATTGCTTGGGTGGAAGGAGAAGATGCTCTATCTCTCTCCCTCTCGTTGGTCGCGCTGTTGGCAAAAGGGTCATATTGAAATGTTGGTTAATGCGGGAGGAGAGGAAGATCATGCAAAAGACGAGAAAAAGCAAACAGGTAGCGCATCGCTCATCTGACTTGTGGAATTGTGGACAGGGCCGGCCCAAACCCGGGCCATGTTGCCAAATATAACCGAAATATTTCGCACTCCATCTAGCTATACTAATATACATTTTCAATCAATTTCCCTTTTGGCGCCCTGATGTGAAAGGGGAAAGAGAGAGATAGAGAAAGAGACAGAGCCAGCCGCTGGTGTTTTAGATTTCGCGTTTGTTTTAACGGACAATTCTCATTATTTTCAAAGGGAGTTTAGATGACAACCTGCATTCGCTGGTTCCCCTCCCCACCATAAAATATAACGGCTGATTTAAACAGCAGCATGTATGTAGGACCTACATTGATATGTAGATATGTATGTGCAAATATGTATGTATGTATGTACATATATATACGTATGTATGTATATAAATTGGTTTTATTATTAATATTTATACATATGTACATATGTAATTTTTTCAACTTGTTAGCTGGGCGGGAGATGGGTGGTTAATGTGTTGTTGCGAACATGTGATATTGTTAAGAACGCTGTCTCTCTTTGATCTGGCTGTTGGCAAAAGAGGCAGGTTGATTTGATAATGTGGGAGGGGGATTGTTTTAAGGCATCAACAGCAGATAAGGAGAGAGAGGGGTACGGCTGATGCACACATACATACATATGTACCTATGTATGTTCATTGGCTTTAATAAAAACTTATGCATATGTAACTCATTTAACTTATTGCCGTGGTTGGTGGGCGGGCGGTCGATGGTTGTTGTCTGTTGTCTGTTTTAAAACACGTGATATCGCAAGGCATGCTCTTTCTCTCTCTCTCTCTTTCTGTCTCCCATTTTCTGCCTGGTTGTTGCAAAAGGGCCAAACTGATTTGTTTATGTGGGAGGGGGTGATTGTTTTAAGTCATAGAATCTAATACATCAACAAGCAGACTACGCTTCTTGGTCACAATAGCTAGCAGAGAGAACCCAGCAGCTAGAGTAGGGTTTGCTGTTTAATTGCGTGGGATTAATATTAATCATTATGGGTAAAGGAGCAGTGCAGGGGTAAAGCAGACCGCGCACTACACGCTGAAGAGTGTGTGAGTGGGAGAGAATGAGTAAGCGCATGGGGTAGGTTAGCTATGGAAAACAATTTATTTTTTTTCTGGCTATAATAATGATCCGATCTGATCCAGATCCGGCATTCTGATAGATATGGGCATTCTCTACGATTCTGTGTTTTTATTAGTTTTCTAGTATCTTCAAAATTGTGGCTGCCACAGATTTTCGTCCTTGGTGGGGGCGGTGCAAAATTTGGAAATACACTTGTAGCAGTGTGATATTACATGAGTCTGTACATCTAACATGTAGATTGTACATGTACCATTTATATTCTACATCTCCTCCGCTAGGGGTTGCTCGCGCACTGAACGGGGGAGGGGAAGCAACTGAAAATTAATTTCTTCATTCTGGCTATAATTATGATCCGATCTAATTCAGATTCGGCAATCTGGTAGATATGGGCATTCTCTACGATACTGCGTTTTTAGTTTTATCGTATCTTTAAAACTGTGCCTGCCACAGATTTTCGTCCTTTGTGTGGGCGGAAGGGGGCGGGGCGAAATTTTGAAATACACTTGTAGCAGTGTGATAGCTTTGATAGTCTCTGAGATCCAGGCGCTCATCAAGACGGACAGACGGACAGACGGACATGGCTATATCGACTCGTCTATTGATGCTGATCAAGAATATATATACTTTATGGGGTCGGAAACGTTTCCTTCTCTGCGTTGCACACATCCACTTTTACCACAAATCTAATATACCCCTTAACTCTTTTTTGAGTACGGGTATAAAAAGGGAAACAAATAGCGGTTTTTTTCGTCTTCA